TTTTGTTGCAAAATGCAAGGTCCCAGGTCTTGCTTGGACTCTCAATATTCAAGCTCGGATCTGTGCTCACGATACTGTATTGCGGCAAGTCACCCCTCAGGCCTGAAGGAACATGAAGCTTAGGGTAGCTCATCTTTCATCAGATCCGGTCGAAATCCATGCGTCCGCGAGGAAAATCGTTCCTGGGCATATAGCCGTTATAGCCCGCTGGTGTGCACAAGCTTGCGCTGGTACTTTACATCGACCTCATGTGGTCTTACACGTTAGTAATACCCGCACACCGCCAAGGACCCGAAACCTGCAGAGCCGCGGGATGATGTGAGGGTTGTGGCCGTCATACCAACAAAGCTCGAAAAGAAACTTCAAGCCAAACCAACAGTCAACAGTCTGGTAGCAGCTGCGTTCGCTTGCATGTTTCTGCAAGCGCCCGCGAGCGCAAGCCACGTAAACATGAGTTGAGAACAAGGCGTGTTCAAAACTTATTCCTCTTGTACACCTACGGTAGGCTTCAAAACTTCAGAATACAGAAAAGCAAAGGTGCTGATCAGAATTCGTTCTAAGCACCGAAGCCGGGTCTAGAAAAGGTTGGCTCAAGAATCATTTGCGGGCTTGGTGATCGACCTTTGCTATGCAGAGGGAAGGTCTCTGCAAGCAGTCACAGCCGCACTAAAACTGAACTCGTCTGGTGAAAGCGTGAATGTCGGCGTTTGCGCCAGCAAGTGCACCGCCATATGCCACATGTTGACACATGCACTGATGGCAGCATTCAAGGAGATCACATTTGGCTCGGCTCTGGCAGTTGGCATTTCAGACAGCAAGAGCAAAGCAACCGGCCACTCACTGCCTTTCTCACAGGCACTGATGCCGGCACTGAAAGCGATCGTGTCTAAGCCAACCCTGGCTGCAGACATCTGCGCAAAGAATCGCAAAGCAGTCTGCCAGTTCCCGGCTTTCTCACAGGCACTGATCACTGCACTGAAACTGATAGTGCTTGGTACAACGTCCACGGCAGGCATTTGCGACAGCAGCTGCACGGCCATCTGCCATTCGCCACACTTCCCACACGCACTGATCGCGGCATTGAAACTGATCGTGCTGGGTGAGATCTGGCTTGTCAGCATCTCGAACAGTAGGAACGAAGCCATCTGCCATCTACCAGCTTTCTCGCATGCACTCATGCCAGCGTTGTAACTGATCTTGTCTGGCACGACTTTGACCCGTGGCATTCGCGACAAAAAATAGACGGCTCTGCGCCATTCGGCACCTTTCGCGCATGCGCTCATGCTGGCGTTGAAAGTGATAGTATCTGGCAACACTTGGGAGACGAATGATTCGGATAACAACGCGATGGCAAGCTGCCATTCACCACTTTTCTCGCATGCGCTGATGCTCGCATTGAAGCTGATTGTGTTGGGCAAAACTTCGGCACTCGGCATCTCTGACATCAGTTGGAGGGCCATCTGCCAATGACCGCCCTTCTCGCATGCACTCATGCCTGCATTGAAACTGACCGCATCCGGAGTGACTGCCATAGTCGACATATGTGAGATCAAGTGCAGGGCCATCCGCCAGTTGCCTCCTTTTTCGCAAGCGCTGATGCACGCGTTAATGCTGATCGTGCTGGGTTGGACTTCCGCAACTTTCATTTGTGAGAACAGACACACTGCCGTCTGCCACTGGCCAGACTTCTCGCAGGCGCTGAATCCAGCGTTGAAGCTGATGGTGTCCGGCTCCACCTCAGCCGCGTGCATTTGTTCAAGGAGGGATGTGGCCATCTGCCACACACTTCCCTTCTCGCATGCGCTGATGCAAGCACTGAAACTGAGCACATTCGGCGAGACTTGAGTTGCGGACATGCTAGTCAAAAGTACCAGCGCCCTTTCCCACTGCCCTGACCTCTCACAAGCGCTGATAGCAGCGTTCCAGCTGAACTCATTCGGAGCTGTATACATCAAGCCCATCTGTAGAAGCAGCCCCAGTGCCAGTTGCCACTTCAGGGCCCCTTTGCAAGCAGCAATGGCAGCACTGAAGCTGTAGACATCCGGCACGATCCTTGCTTCCATGATCTCTGCCAAAACCTCCAGTGCCGGCAGCCATTGCGAAGAGCTTGCGCAACTTATGATGGCTTTGGAGTGCGTCTTCTGGTCAGTCGATGTCGGCAAGGTGTCCTGGAGCAGATGGATCGCGAGCTGCCACTCCCGACCCTTGCTAAGCGTCCCACGGGCTGCGCCAGGAGCGGTATGAATAGATCCTCTTGCGAGATCCACCATTGCAGCTGCATGGCACATGCTGGATTGCAGTTTGCAGAAAGCTCAAAACCATGAAAGAACTAGAAGGCGACGGCTAATCATGAAAGCATGCTGTATCCGATTGCATGCTTCGGTGGGTCCGGCTCAAGCTTGAGAAAGGCAGTGCCAAATCCGCCTCCCATGCTGCGCAAAGCTCTGTTGCACAAAACCAAACTTTGATTTCGGAGCCTTCCGACTGGTGTTTCTCCTGTTGTGTACAGTTCGAAGCCATGTTCGGAGCGAGATCAATGCGCGATTGACGGACACAGCTTAGCTTAACTTACAACTCAAGATTGACTTTTCAAGTCGGGGTGCAAGGGCGGATCATGATCAACGCGGCTATCACGAATAAGACATTCATAGAAGACCTTTTGGCACCCAAGCGCCAGTCCGGCTCCACGGACCCTCCGCCGACTCTACAATGCCCTCTGTGGCTGGGCTGGCAGATTCGGCAACTGTAGCAGACCCTTGCACTCCGGCGCGGTCCACAAAATCTCTACTCACCGTTCATATATCACATCTGATTCGATGTAAAGGTCCGAGGACAGAGTGGCTCGCTTGACTTACCTTTGGTGAGTAGGGAATGGAAGAACGGTAGTAATTAACAGTGCTTATAATTGTACCCCATTCCTCCATTCCCTACTAGCCAATGAGCCGCCGAGAACCTGGACTCTCAATCGCAAGACTTCCCTCCACTTAAAGTGGGCACCCAAGCGCCCTTGCAGATCCTGTGCGGCTCTGCAATGCCCTCCGCAGGGCTGGCAGATTCTACAAAACTCGGCTAACAGCCCATATTGGCTAATTACCAAGGCTCTCCAGCCAATCATCTCAAAGCAAGCTGATGCTCATCCAGCTGGGCGTTTCAGCAGGTTCATATTTAGAATTAGAATCCTATAAGGTGATCCCAAAAAGGAACCACTATGGGGCCTATGGGTAAAGGCTCTCCAGCTAGGCGTTTCAGAAGCACTAAACATATTGGGGAAAGATATCCTAAAACACTAAACCCCAAACTCAACATGTTTATAATGCTGGGCGTTTCAGAGCAAGCTGATGCTCCGCAGCGAGAGCTCCACGGTCTCGCCCTGCTCCAGCGAGGGCCACCGAGCCTCGGCATCCTGCGGCCGGCTTGCAACAAGAGCTTTTGGGTGGTTTTGGGGTTTAAGCAGGGGTTTCTTACATTTCAGACCGGCGCTTTGGGGTTGTTCGTCAAGCAACGGCTCACTATGCTTCTTTTAAAACAAACATTCACAGTTCTTGAGGAGCCACTTGCGCTCTGCACATCTCGGCTCCCCTAAACATTCCCCGATCATTCTCATTTCCAGGGAGTTATCTGTTGTCTGCAGGAAGCCTGGAAGAGGCGCAGCGCCAGCGCTTCCGGGCCGTCTGCACAAAGAACCCAGCGGTCGAGTGGGTTTTGCAAGGAAGCACACGTCCGAGTTGTATTACAGCATGAGAGCTTCCTTGGGCTTCATGCTTTGTCTTCCTGCTCATGCGTCTTTTGGGCTTATGGCTCAGGCTGGTGCAGAATCAAAATCCGATGTCATGTAGTTGTGCCTTCGGGGTTTATGAGACTATCTACGGCTACCGGCTGCAGATTGCTGCACAGGTACAGGAAACCGCAACAAAAACAAACAACTCCAACCGACAAACAACGACAAATAAGCTGAACTACGGTGAACTATGCAAGCAGGCAGCAAGCAGGCATGGAAAGTAGAGGTCCCGAGATCGTTTCGACACACATGCGCTCTGCGCCTGGCTTCAACACCTGCGCGGCCGCCATCACGCAGGGCGCCAGCAGAGCGGCACGGGCCGTCAGCACGCGGCCTCTGCCACCGCGGATACACGCGGAAACGCTCATGTGGGTAGTTGTCAAAATTAGGGTCCCTTTTTGGATACCCTAAATAATAGGTGCCGTATCATAATAAGGACCCAAAAAGGGATCCTAATTTCGACAACCACCCATCCGAAGGTCTTCGGGGCATCCTTTGGCCTCGCCTGTCGAGAAGGCGAAGGCCGCGATCGCCAGACCTGGGCACGGATCGTTTCACAGTCGAAGCTTCAACTGCCGCTGCCTTTTCCACGGATTCCTATATCTACAATTCGGTGCTGGACCTGATCCATGCTGAACGGCATGGCTAATGAAACTACGGCCGGGGAGCAGAAGAAGCAGAAGCTCTGCAAGTCGTTGACCTGCACGGGAGCAGGAAAGGCGATCTTCGAAAGATCAAGAGAGCATGGGGGGTGATGTAGTATGTAGTTGTTGCCCTGCGAGCGGATGCGAAGTCGCCACGATCCTTCGAGTCGTTTTACATCGATTTACTCTCCAGCCCTGCAGCTGTGTAAGATATGACCGACTGCAGATCAGCTCAAAATGCTCAAGCAAAAAGTCGAGAGAATCACGCGTCTGGTCCCTCCTCTTGCAGCTGTCCCTCTCACACCATACACGATGCGACGCACATACTTAAACACAACTCTCCGAAAGCACAATCGCCTGGTGCTGCCGGAAGGGTCGGATGGTGGCGATGGCCAGCGAGGTGCACAAGGTGAAGCCCAGGGTGAACTCCAGGCCATTCTCGCTCCCGACGGCCTCGCATGCATGCAGGAGCCCGAGGTGGGACGAAAACATCCTTTTGTGGGGTCCTCTCGAAAGCCTCGAACAGCCTTGCGACCCTTTCAGCCAAGGTGCGGCCACCAAAGCAACGGCCACGATCCTCATGGCCTCAATGCTTAGAGATCTCACGAAAAGAGCAGATCAACAGTTCATGAGTCTCAGATTTCTTGAATCTTGCGGGACAGCAACGGACTTCAAACACTCCTGTGTGACCCGAACAACACGTAAAGCAAAATCAAACTCGACGATCCAGAAACTTAGGACAAGCGGAAATGCTGTTATTCTGGCTTCCGAAGCAAATTCAGTAAATACAAGCGGTCTGCATCCTCCCCAAAACATTGACGTGGAAAAACCTTGTGCTCAACCATTGGCCAGCGTGAATATATACGGTCCATCATGAACTCCCTCCTAATGTCTGCTTGGGACTCCCTCCGTTCTCAGTTTTGGATGCCTCTAGATAATGACAAATCACAGGACAGGATTCTAGGATTGGCTAAGAAAGCAACCACTCACTGGCCCTAAAACCAAGGAAATAAACGTTGAAACTTTCAGAATCGACTACCTTATAAGAACCCCCAAAAGTTGAAAAGTTGAGTTTACAGCCAATAAGACCAAGATGGTGAAGCGAGGGGCGATCTCGAACCACACGTTTTGGCACGCTGCCTCGGCAGTCGAAGCACGCCCTCTCTCTCTCGGTAAGCTCCCCGGACTCCGACCTGCGGATCGGTCTACATACACTATGTAAGGCGTGCATTTTGCTCAGACAGGCTGCTTTTCTGACCCAATACTTTAATTTCTGAAGTTGTCTCAGGTGCATATTTGACGAAGAGCTCCTTTGCACCGGAAACGATTCCTGAGACACTCATGCTGGACACGCCCATGGGGCCGGCAAACATGTCATTGCAAGATCTTTTGAATGCCTCTATCTTTTGCATGCAGCTGCGGCTTTATTAGACCGGAGGTGCGAGGAACCATCACACACGTACTCAAGCCAAGCATCTGTCGGAGGAGGCGACCTCTTCAAGTACATCCGCTCCTTCAGCATCCTCTGTGCAGGCGTCCGCTTCACTTAGACCGGTGACTTCATGCAGGCGGACAGCAAGTCGAAGAGCCCTCATAAGCAAACTCCGGACCCGGAGCGTCCCTGTCTGGGTCGGGGAAGGGATGAAGGTTCAAAAGCCACGGCCTCTCAAGAGCTTGGCAACGCCGAAGATCTGCATCGCCCTTGTTCCCCAGGGCTGTCCAAACGAAGCTGCTCGCCTGCAGTGCACCACGGCCCCACTATATGCACGTACGTCACGTACGGTCGTTCGAGCCAAGGGCGTCCAAGTTCACGTCGTGCTCGTGGCCTCCTTGCTCCTGCGGTCGGAGGATCCTCAGCTGAAGGGCGACGGACTTCCGACAGTTCAGCGGGTTGTTCCTTCAATAAAACCGGTGGCAGCCAAGACTCAGGTGCTCGTCCTGCAGCTGGACTCGGACGGCGCCTGAGAAGTAAATGCAGCTGCGGGCGACCGCCGCGGCCAGGAGGCTCCTACTCTTCAGCTCCTCCATCGTGTCGTGTTGGAAGGAACTCGAAAAATATCTAAGCATTGGCAACTGGTTTGGAATCATGCCACCCGGTTCCCACCCTGTCCTGGTGCGGCTCGGGCTTCTCGGACTCCTCCACGGGTAAAACCCAGACCGTGACGTCGCCCTTCTTCTTGGCGACGTGGCTGACGAAGCGTCGGCTGGGGGCCAAAGCCACGTGCTGCTTCAACATGAGGTACGCCAGGAAGCTGGGGATTAGCAGCCCGTAGCACACGACGCAGGACACAGCGATACCATCTGCCTCAGATTTTCAAGCCCATGCCTTCGACAACAACTTACAATTGAAACCACAGAGAGAGAGAGAGAGAGAGATACATATATATATATATATACCTAGACCCACTAGAACCTAATAAATTGTAGGTAATGAAAATTAACTAGGTTCTTTAGAGGAGAACCGGGTTTTGCTTGGAAACCGGGTTTTGGCACATGCTTGGAAAAGCTGCTGTTTGCATAGTTCATGTATTAAACGACACAGGCCAACATCCTCTGAACTTCCGAAGAACAGCCTCGAATGTAGATGCCTTTCAAAACCCCGCCGGAAGACCTTAACTCTCGATAAGGGCCCTGAAGATACCGAAATCCTTGCAGAATAAAACCAGCGAAATCCCCCGACGACTCCAAGCATAAACATCCGAAAGCCAAAGCCCCGCCCAAGACCCCTGCGAACCCTCGAAAGCCCCCGCTGATGTTTGGCATCTTGGCGATCTCCATCTCGTGCCATGCCGGGAGCTCAAGACAGCACTGGAGTGACAGGAATCTCAAACATTGCGAAACACCTCGATTTCTACCTATCTCGATGTGTGGTGTCATCCTTAAAATCTCGATTTGTGCTGTCATCTTTGCTAGCTGTCGTCGTCGACTACTAAGTACTGCGCTTCCACGTACTTCGTGAATGCAGCCTGCAAATGCCGCTGAGCAATCCGCTGTACAACCGTAGATGGGTGCACATGCCTGCTGGTTCTTGAATTTCTGCCAATGTAATCTTCAGCAAGTTGAACGGAGTAGCATAAGGGGTTGACAATCCATTCGGCCTTCTGGGAGGCCAGCACTAGATCCTGAAGACAGATATGCTGCACACAATGGAATTTGGGGAGGAGCAAAAACAAGCATCTTTGCTGCTGATGTGCTTGTGTAGCACACGAGTAGTATCGCCGAAGAAATCGTAGGCCGTATTCCCCAATTCTCTTTGCGGTGGTAGGGTCCAGAAATAGGTCGCTTTGATAAAGCCCAGAAAGGAATGCGTTCATAGCGCGCGCGGCTTCACCGCACTTTGTCAAAAGGTCGTCTTCAAATTCTGCATCTTGCGTGAATGAAGCGATGTACTCACACATCGTGGTGGACAACGACCCTTTGTACCACGTGGCATAGGGATAAGTGTTATTGTTATCCCAGGACACCGTCTCTTTGATGATCTTGGTCAAAAGCGGTTGCCGGCGATGCTGGGCACACCAATTCATGTAGTGCTCCGAAAGCGCTTCAAAGCGCGCATCCTTGGATCGACCATCGAAGGTTTCACTGAAGAGTGCCAATGCAGATCCAGCCAGTGCTTTGCACACACCTAAGTGACAACAATGCCACAGGTCGTATCGGAAGTTGGAGGCCGCAGCCCCCGGTGGGTGAGGAAGGTCCGCGAGCGGGCTTCTAGGATCCAAGAAGGGGCTTCGGACCAAGAATGTCTGAAGCCACGATGGGTCTCTCGTGTGGAAGTGTTCGAAGCTGTGCCCCCTCTGCCCTGCCTGACAGAGGTGACAGATCCCCTCTGGATCCGCCACCTCTTTTGTCTTTTTGACCACATGATTAAAGCTTCTTCCCAAATTCCCAGATTTGATTAGCCAGGGCCAATCACCAGTGACAGCAAGGATGCAAGCATGAAACTTCTCGCCGCTGTGTCCATCAGAAACACCCTGATGCAAAACGAAATCGTTCTCGTCTTTGCAGTGCTGAAGCAGCAACTGCACGCACCCCTCGGCCTCGATCACTTTCTTCGGCCATCCAGCCTAGGATTTCTGAGGTCAAGGATCTGTTGTTGAAAATTTGCAGATCGAGGATTCTAGAATAAGCGGCTTCAGGGTTTAGGTCTGAATTCACAGAATACACCCCACACAAAACAACAAATCCCCGGCTTCTTGTTTAGACCACATAAACATCGGCGACCTTTTTCTCTTTGTCCTATATAGTGATAAATTTGTCTTCGCTCCGTTAAAACAGCATGAGCTATACTAAACAAACGCGAAAATTCTGGCACATTTATTGCTGCTCTGTTGCCTGAAAGAATCTGTTCGTGAACGAGTGCCCTCTGAAGTTTGTACGATGTTTGATGAACTCGTTTCGGATTCCATGCTTCTTCCGATACTTATCCGCAGGCGCACATCCACGGCCAAGCATCGAAGACCAGCTCGTGACTAAAAACGGGGTTCTTCGCCGACCTCGTCCTTCATCACCGTGGTAAAGAAGAGGGGCTGTGCGCTCCAGAGAGAGCAAGCCCTGCCTCTCCATCTCATAAATCGGATGGTGCTCGTGAGTGCATCGGTACTTTTCCCAAAAGGACTTGAGAATCGCCCTCTCGCGGGCTGCGTCCCTGCGGACCAGGCCTGTGACGATATGCCAGCACTTCTTGTCGACTAAGAATTGAAGCCAGTCACGTAATCTCAGGACAGTCAAGTGTTTCTTCTCGTGCCTCACAGAAGAAAGAGGGACCCACTTCTCCAAGCTTAAATGAAGCTTTTTGGCAAAAAGACGATGTGTATCTCTCTCGGCATCCTTCTCTCGGCACTTCGACAACTCAAGCAGTCCCCCACTGGACGCAGCAGCTTTCTCGCCGATGTCGGCAACCACTCGTTGCGCAGCACGAACCGCCGCCGAGCATGAAGCCTCGGCGTAGGGACATTCTAATATATAACTTCAAAAGCAGGGGCATGCTAATCGATCAGCGATGTGAGAACATGGTGCTTGCAAACAGACTCTGCCATTCTTTGTTGCATCACTGAACAGCTCCAGAAAACTCAGCATGAAGGAACCTTTCTTTTGAAGGTTCTTGTGTTTCCGGAAGGTGGATACTTGAATGACCTGTACACCAAGTGAAAAACACATCGTCGGCTGAGGTCGTGCTTTCAGTGACGGTGTCGCCGCCGAGGCGTTTCGACATTCAGGCCGACCTCAATTTTCTCACGCTCTCTCTCTTTCTCTCTCTCTCTCTCTCTCTCTCTCTCTCTCTCTCTTTCCCTCCCTTGCTCTCTTGTTGTGTTCAATCCTTCACTGGCTCTCTCTTGTCGCTATATGTAGACCATCTATATATGTAGATTGTCTTTCAAGCTCTGCTAACGAGTTGCTCTGATGCATGCTGATTAAAGCAGCTTTCCAGCATAGCGGGTCCATAGGCTTCCTGGGACACATGGAGAAGAATAATTCGGACCAAATATCCACATCCTGGGTGTACCCGTAACACAAAGCGCATGCTGCAAAACACTGCCAGCCACGAGACCTTTGCGAGGAAGGCGGAAAGCCAGCGGAAGTTCTCGAGCATGGCTCTCAGATATCAACTGTTCTGTTTGATGTCTAACCCGGGGATTATCAATCAAATACTCACATCTATAGGCTTTGATTGTCTCGCTGGCGGTTCTTGCAGAAGTTTGGGTCGCGAAGAGACAGTAGTCAATGCCCCAGACACGCACGTAGAGCTCCCACAGGCTTCGTTCCATGGAAATGGACCATCAGTAGCCTCAGATACCCACGTGCAAATGTGCGGAAGATAGATGTTGAATCATAATATCGGTGCAACATTCAACATGCAGGTTTGCTGAGATTCGCCTACATATTCACTCCAGCAACGGGGCGGTGTTTTCGTGAGTAGGTCTAGGAGTTCATCCTCCGCCGACTCACAGCTCATGGCCCAAGGCGGCAGCAACAAAAACGGTCAGTGCTTGGACCATTGCCCTGGGATGTACTGGGGCCAAACAGCCTTCGGTAAACACAGTAAGCACCCTCATGCTGCGAGCTTTCGAAACGAAGCCGATCACCCCAAGGTCCAGGCTCCTTCTCCGATCTCAGCGGAAAAGCCGCGAGCAGCAAGCCCAGCTTTGGGACCTGGCCCAGGAATTTGGAAGCACAGTGCTGCTATATAGTGTAAGGGTGCCGCAAAACTGCAACAACTATATGTGGGTGCAGCACGATTAAATTGGCAACGTGATTTTGGTAGCCCCTCGCACATGTAGCGCTCAGAGTCATCGAAAGCTTGTGGCGCAAAACCACACGGCATCGACGTCCCCTTTCGGAACAAGTCTTTAATTGTAAAATGATGTTGGATTCCCTGTGCACTAGCATTGACTCGAATAGCCGATCTTACCTAAGCCTGGGTTTGGCTGGGGTTCTAGATATACATATATATAGAGTGGCCAATATAGTCTTAAGTAATACTTCTTTGGATAAAGAAGGAGAGCTGTACATACTGAGCCAGAAACCTTCCCGAAACTGGTCCAACCATAAACCCATATATAAAGACCCCGAGACCCTACATTGCCCATAAGTGATCGAGGCATGGCCGCAGCGCTGCAGCCAGTCTCGCATTTCCGGGAAGGCCGGTTATGATTTTGCACAGGGAACATCACCCCAACGTGCAGGATCGCCCGCACGGTTGCATACCCAAATTGGGAAAATGGCCCTACTTCTTCTTTTGTGCCTTCGGCTTCGACTGCTGAGTGTTTGACTTGGGCGGGGCTCGCTTGTTGGTGCTGTCCTTGTCCACCTTGTCCAGGTACTTCTTGGCATTCCTGCATGATGTAGGTTTGGGTTGGCTTCATTGTAAAAAAAATTCACTACGGAGGATCCGTTCTACTCTATTGTAAAGCAAACCTGCATCGTGAAGCCTATCAGCCCTAACCTTTGACCTACCAGGAACAGGAGCGCTACATATAACCCTGCATAACCCAATACAGGAAGCTAAAACATCGGTCCGGATGCGCGTTTCTGCCGCCACGGCTTTGCTACACCTCAGAATTGCTTTAATGGCTTGTGTACATATAGACATGCCAGCACTAGCAGCAAGAGGATGCTAGAGCCAGCACCGAGAACCGAACACAAATGTGGTGGTCTTCATCTGGGCTTCAGCCTTCTGCTTGAACCTTTGTTTACGACAAGACAGAAACTACAGATCATATATGATGTTCAACAAAAACGTCACGCGATCTAATTGTCTCTGGATGCTCTGTGTTGAAGTTGTTCAGCTCACCCTGGCTCAGCACC